GTATAGGTTGGCGATTCTAAAATACTCTTGACAGAGGATCAAGAGGTTTTGCGACAGCTAATATGGAAGAGTCGTCACCTGTTGATCGGAAAAGGAAATGCATTACCCCTGCATCACGCGGGGCCGTTTGTGATGTTGATGTGGGAGAGGCGAGGCCGACCGCTCAGCGTGTACGACCTTTTGCGCCAAAGTTTCGTGAGAAGTTGGCCGATCTGATAAAAAGGCCTGTTGTCAGCCAAGTTTATTCGACCTTCGACATTGCCGGGGGCATCACCAATATTCGTAATTATTAACAAAAATGGAGAAGATATCCGACTGTGTGTCGACTATCGAAGAGTAAATGAGCTAAGAACTAATGTTGTACCCTATGCCCCTTATCAGTGATTTGTTGCAGGACATGGACAAAACAATGTGGTATTGTTGGCTGGACATGGCAAGTGGATTTTGGGTGGTAGAGATGACCGAAAGAGAAAGGATCGATCTCTGCGTTTATCACGCCGTCTGGTATGTTTGAATGGTAGAGGATGCCTTTTCGATTGAAGAACGCCCCACAGATTTATCAGCATTTGATTGATAATGCTTTATACGGTTATCTCAAGATCGGCGTAGAAAAGGGTCAAATGCAACGGATCATCCTAACTTAACTGATTTGTTTACTGAGGGAGAGCCGGAAACGGATCAAGCGCCGTCAGTGCTGGGCTGGCGATCTTATATTGACGATATATTGATCCCGGCTACGTCATGGACATCTTTGTACGACAAGGTCGAAAGATTATTGACAGCATGCGATCGATGAAATTTGTCGATCAGTCTGACCAAGAGTTTTAAGGACGGCGTAAGGTAAATGCATCGATGAAATTTGTCCACAAGTCTGACCAAGCGTTTTTGAGGACGGCGAAAGGTGAATTACTAAGGTCATCAGGTACCTTGCGCTGGGTTGGAAGCGAATCCTAAAGATCTAGGATCGCTGGTTAACATTTCTTTTCCCACAACTTTGCGATCCATGCAATCGTTCCTAAGTAGCTTGAACTATCACAGTCGTTTTATAGAAGATTTTGCAGTATATGCATCTGTGTTGTACGAGTTACGAGAGGCGGAATTTTTCCCGAGATGAGCCATATGGGAGATCGTGATGCGATGTCGGAAAGTTGCGGTAACACATTACAAGGGGGTGAGCATGATCCAAAGAGCAATCTAGGTGAGAAAGGGCCGCCATTGCATTCACTTTGCTAAAGGCCAAGATCGCTACAACCCCGATCCTCAAACATTTTGATCCAGATCGACTTCCAGTGATCGTGGTAGATCCTAGTAAGTGGGCAGTTTCGGCATCTCTGTTGGAAGAATATGACGGCGCATACTGGCCGGTGACATTCACAAGTTGCAAACTGAAGCTTGATGAAGTTAGTAATGGAATGGTGGAGAAATAAGTTTTAGCCCTACTTCGAATCTTGGTAGCGTGCTACACCATGCTAGTATCCCGAGAGATCAGAATACTCACTCGATATTCGACATTAGCTTGGCTAGTTTAATCTTTTGGCCTCAATGGGAGACTGGGAAGATAGGCTGTCCTGCTACCGAATTGGACACTGGAGGTCAAGAGATTAAACAAAGGAGAGGATGAAATACTAGGCACTCTCGCATCTAGTATAACTCCACGAGATGAGGTAGATGGTGTGTTAATTGGCGATCGCTCCACAGAAGAATCCTATATAATTGGTAGCTATGCTACCTCCTACGGTAGGTACGGATGAATGCCTGTTGGTGGTCAATTTCGACGGATCGGCACGGACTAAACGGAACAGCGGGGTATATAGTGCGATCGTGTGGAAGCTACCATAATGGACCATCATCTCAGCCGCTTCAGAATACGCGGCAGGTCTGACGGTGAATGCAGCAGAATATCGTGGCATGTTGTTGGTTCTCGATCAGCTGGACAAACAAACTAGTGGACGAGTCATTATATATTGTGACTCGAACCTTGTGATATGGTGAATGCGGGGAGAGATGGATTGTAAAGCGCCCGGGCTACAGTTATTGCGTCAAAAAGCAATGCAGAATCTTCGACTTTGGTCAAACACGAGTTCCTACACATGAAGAGGGAGTAGAACCAAAGTGCGGATCGACTAGATAGTGCAGCTTTGCAGCAAGAAGAAGGTGTCATTGTGAACTAAGATCAAGAATTGCAAGATTTGACATCACTCAACAGGCTGCGTGAGTTGCTCTTACCGGAAAGGACGGATCGCTTGGTAAAAATGATAGCGATCACACGATCCGCGCGGCGAAGGCGCCAACAACCCGAAGTTTTACAAGGGTAAATAGGGCAGCGGATGCGGATCGAGCGGAAAAAAAGCGCAAGAGGAAGAGAGCTGGATCGCCCAGTTCCCTGACCCAGTTAAACGCAGAGAATGCAAAATTATGCGCCTGGATCGCTCCAAACTACGAAGTGGACGAAATCGGATTGCTGTTCTTAGCCCCAAACCCGCTAAGAAATTGGACGATCGTATAGAGATGGTCCGTCTGGTTGTACCGGAATTGTTGCAAAAAGCTTTTATGCACCATTACCACACAAGCTTAAAGGGTGGTCATCAGGGGATCGGTAGGACTTATCAGTGGATCAGATCCAATTTTCATGGAGAGGATTGTATCGGAGTATACAACGTCATGTTGGCGAATGCGTGGACTGTACAACAGGGGAGGGTCTACCCGCGATCCGCGGTAGATCCCCGGAAAACGTACAGGCTACATAACCATTTCAGGTGATCGCGATGGATCACATCCCATCATTGCCGCGGTCATCATTAGGAAACACGGAACTGCTGCTGTGGGTAGATCTTTTCTCAATATAAGTGATCGCGAGAGCAAGTTCGTCGAGGTACGCGAAAACGATCGCTGAACGATATGAAGAATGTGTGCTAAAAAGATTTGGAGTCCGTGAAGTTATGCATCACGACAGGGATCCTGGAGTTATGTCCGACCTTTTTCGAGCATTTAATCGGATCGCAGGTCAAAAGCAACGTGCAATCTATGGAGTACCGACCGCAAGCAACCGGAAGTGCGGAGCGTATGGTACAGACGTTGAATCGGTCGATTAGATGTACGTCACGGACGTAGAACAGAAAGACTGGGATGAATACGCAGAAAGATTGACATTCGCTATGAATGAGGCACAATATTGGATCCGTGGAGACACTCCGTTCTATTTGTTCCATTGCTGGGATCCAAGATCGACATTAGAAGAAACATCACCGTTGGGGAGCACTAAAACGCGCAATGCTGACCCTAGAAGGTGGAGATATAAAGTTAAACGTCAATATCAGAAGGCAAGAGCAGTGGTAAACGAACGTCTCAAGATCGCGATCCAAGATCGAGCAGATCGACACTATGACAATAACGAAGTGTGTGATATAAAGTGCGGATTGCAAGTTTAGCTCTACTTGGACCGAGTCAAAGACGGCTATGCTCGAAAGTTAGCATATGTGTGGCATGGACCGTTCCGAGTGGCAGAGTTATGTGGGGAATATGCTGTTCGGGTGGAGATTTCAGGAACTCCATACCGATTGTTCCCGGTAGTGTACGTCTTCAAGCTAAATGCAGAGGGACAGTTTCCCGATCACCCAGGCAGTGTGCCAGTGACTAAATGTGAGGATCGTGTGGATTTCAAAGAGTCGTTGTTGCTGGAAGATAGTTGGTAAAACGAGTTGGCTGCTGCCGAATACACAGTTAGGAAAATTTGGGATGTACGATCAGGACGTAAAACTCGTTATGGCCGAGTGCATCGACAGTTTTTGGTACAATGGAAGCAACACGACGATCCGACCTGGATAGACGAAGCGGAACTGTACTGTGGCGCGTAGTTGCAAGATTTCGAGCGCAACCGTGCGAGTCAAAATTGGTTTAGAGTTACGCAGACCTATAAGGGGGAAAACGAAGCTTAAGGGGTAATTGAAGAACTGAGCGGTTGGAGCATGCTAAAAGGTGGACGTGAAATGGTGGATGAACATATGTACAAGGAGGTTGTATGAGATGATTGATCGGAGCTTTATGTAAAATGAGTGGCGATAGCGGATCGAAGGGATCCGATTTCGGTTGAAAAGCCGAAAAAAAGTTGATCTCAAGATGAAGAACAAGAAGAGGGATCAAGAGAGATTAAATTAAATTATGTAAATATCTAAATAAATTCTAGCGGTCAAGCAGGAAAGAACTTACCTGGCAATCGTATGATTGATGATTCGGGATGGTCAGCGATAGAGGATCGATACTGGGAACGCCAAGAATCAGCGGCATCCAGCAACGGGAGAGCTGCGATCAAATTGGAGATGCCCTTCGGTTTGCATCCCAGGCCAGGGTACCAAGGGGAAATCTCTTTACAGGAAGGGAAGTGCAGAAAGAAGGGATCCAATAGTTTTTTCAGGTCACAATGACCTGCGATCATACCTTGCAAGATGAATTGAAGGATCGCCTTTCACCGAGGCCCAGCTCGCGACCGACGCTGTATCCGCAGTTTTAAGAACTGGTCCAGCTCAGGATCACTGGCCCCCTGTTCACCAAACCTTGATTGTGTACGTCGACGCCCACAAAGCTTGTCGGTTTTGATCCTCGAACATAAGTATAGAGAGTCAAGCTGGCCGAACCAGCCGGTACGAGGGAAGGAGATCGGCGCAATCCGACGAGTGGCTGTCTCCCAAGGCTTATGGGCGTATAAGGCCGCGATCTGGACCGAATACGCCAGCCGAGGTGTTTACTTAGCTGTAGGAGGAAGACACTTGGACACCGTTTACGTCGGGAAGATATAGACTTTGGGACGGGTCAGTCGCAGTTCAGGAAGTTAGTGTCCATCTCCGCGACGCTCGTCCAACTGACCTTGCTTACCGAACAGAGAGAAACCTGAGTGAACGATCGCGGTACGCGATCTCGATATCTAGGGATCCACTGGTCGCGAGATACCTTAGTGGGGGGGCAAGCTATCATAATCCGCCAGAGATAACATCGTATAGACGTGATTACGAGGCGAACCAGAAAGGTGCTGATGGCACCATCCGAGTCGTTGGACGCTTCTCCGAAAAGTTCTGCGCGAGATAAATGGTCACGGTAGGAATAACAGGATCAACAGGAGGTGGAGGGTCGTGCGAAGGGCTCGGCGTGTCTATGACGATCGGATCCGGAGAAGGCCCAGCCGAATGTTGTGCCGCCGGATTGGACGCTCGACGACGACTGGAGGATCGCGAACCGGATAAATTCACTAAAGTCTCATCCTCACCTGTCGATGTATCCTCTTCCTCAGACGAGGTTAAGCTCGGACCATGGCGCCTGTGCTTGCCCATTTTGAGGTGGCTGCAGGCTTCGCTGGATCATGGCGATTGTTGAGATCGCGACGACCCTTAGGATCGCGGGTTCCCTTCGAAGCGGACGAAGGCTTGGGATCGCAAACGGGGGACGGCTTGGCTGTAGCAGTAGCAAATCGTGCCATTTTAAGATTGCAAACTGGGGACGGCTTGATTTTGAACGCAGCGGATCGTGCCACCTTGGGATCGCAAACTGGGTACGTCTTAGCTTTGGATGCAGCGGATCGAGTCACTTTCTTGAAAGGCGGCAAAGTTGACGATGGTAGAGGATCGCAAGATCGCTTGCTACTCGATCCTGAAACGTTCGAAATCAGCTGACGAGTGGCGGGGACGGGCGTGTGGGGAGACTATCCCACCTCCGTCGGTGTGACTGAAGATTTTCCAGACACCAGCAATGCCATGCGATTCCGAATGGTCAAGTGATCTCGTATTGCGCGATCACGTATGGAAACCACGTCCGCGAGATGAACTCGCATCTGGTCCAACGTAACGTCACGATACGATACGATGCGACGCAATTGATCACACTCAGCGGATCCGGCGGATAGAGAATCCTGCGCCTCGCCCAGTTCGGCCTGAAGCCCCGATACCTGCTTGAGCGCGCGACACATCTTTTCCTGGTCGGCCTGGATCCCCGCTACTTGTTTGAGTGCACGACGCATCTTCTCTTGGAGTTGGTGGCCGGCTTTTTTAGTACTTCTACTTCTTGCTGTTGTCCTTGTCCAGGCTGTGGGACAACTTGTCACATTTAGCCACCAACCGCTCTCCCGCCTCGTCTATCTGCTTGCGTATCCCGGCGATCTCACGATCGGCTTTTCCTGTGTGGCACGACGTGCTCGCACAGTCCAGAGGAATGCAGAATTTAGATGCTCGATCAAGGCGTTCTGGTCGACCCGGTCGACCAACGCCTTCCCAAAGGTTTTGGACTGGTTGACCTCGTCTACATAGCGAGCGCGCAAGCGGTCATATTTCGATTGAACGAGCTAAACGAAAGGGGACGCGGAGGTGCGAAGCTCCTAAAGGTCCTCATTCAGCTGGAGATTCTGGATCATCTGGTGCTCCAAAGCAGTATCCATACTCTGGTACCGATTCAAGACAGTCTGTTGGAGGCTCAGGCGAAGGTAAAGCGAATTAATTGCTGCGTTTGACGTGGCTCGATCGACCGAACACGAGGCTTCGATCCGAGTACTTGGGAGCAAAATGGGCTCACTCGGATCCGGGGTTGGGACATTTTGTCTGGCGGAGGTCCTGTCCGGAGCGGGGTTGAAGAGGATCGCGACAGAGACATCGCGATGGAGAACCAACCAGAGCCCTCCCCCATCTGAGCCGACGTCACCACAGCCGAGCAATCACACTCGTTCACTTGCACGGTCGAGGCGTCTGAGATCACAGGAATGGTAGGCGCCGAGGTTTTAACATCTGAAGTCGGGATCGCAGAGGTAGATCCGAGGGGCCCCGATCCTGACGCAAGAGGAGGTACCCGATACGAATGTGCTGGATCGGACATCGCGTCAGAAGATGCGAAAGTGCGTGAAAAAGAAAAAAGCACACAAGGTTGCACAGCCAGATCAACACCGCATGTTGGCTGACGGTGCAGGGGAAGGGTTTGGCAAAGCGGTCACAAGGAAATGTTCTATTGGAGCTTGGATCGGCGATCTTACGGGTCGCAAGCTTCAGTTAAGCCAAGAATGCTTCCTTTGGTGGATACAAGCTGGGACGGGTAGCTGTCAATAGCGTACCCAAAAACCAAGTGGACAGGATCGTCCAGCCTGGGACGAGGCTATAGAGTGGTCATACCCGTTTTGATTACGCAATCCGTCGTGAGACATGGCAAGATAAGACCCTCGATCTCACTGGAAGACTGCGATCCTAACCCAGAATCGCAAAAGTCCGATCTCCAGCTGCGATCCGCTAACGGGATCACGATCCACTAGTAGGATCACGATCCGCTAGTAGGATCACGATCCGCTAGTAGGATCACGACGCGCTAGTAGGATCACGATCCGCTAGCAGGATCATGGGGATATCTTGGGTGGGCCACAAGAAGATACAACGGTTGATATACTGGGTGTGGACCACAAAAATGCGAGGGGACGATCTTCCTGGAAAGGCGACGCGTGGCATCGGGTTAGATTATACGGACATGCATAGGGGTAGGGTTTAAGATGGTTGATTAACATTAAACAGAGTTCGAATTACTTCACAAGGCACACGTTATCTCTTTCGGGTAGGATCGTTGGCCCCCGTCGAAAAAAGAGTCGCGCTACACGTCTATGCAAGTGCCACACCTGGATTGTTTTGGCCAGGTGTGTTCAAGAACTCTCAAGCAACATCAACTGCGATCGAGCGCAGCAAGACACGTAAAGGCAAGGCGCAAGATCGCGAGACGTCTCAAGTGGTCAGAAGGCTCGCGGATCAAGCAACCACAGAGTGAACAAGGCGATCTCGTTGAGATCAGGGTAACTTATATCAGTACCCATAAGTACCCGGTGATCGCGTGAAGATTTCCGCACGATCACAAGCCCATCCCCAACACGGTCAAGTTTTCCTTCGACACGAGTCTACCTGGAAGAGTGCAATTCGCCCTACCGACGGGTACACAAGGTGAGGAAGGCAACACACACGGAATCGGAGTAACCCCTCCGTTAGTCGGTCGTCCGGGCGCCAGTGGAGAGTTGAGATCGACTCATAAATTGAGCAATTGCACTTCCACCACGTCTAGACTGAGCCATTGACGCAACACCGTAGGGTTCTTTAGTGTTGGCAATGAACAGATTGATGACACCTTCTCTGGATCGGCTTTAACACTAGATTAACTCACGTAGAAAATTATCACCGTATCTCCGATGCACTGAAAACGCACATCATCAAGTTTGTGTACAACTTGTTGTCTCGCATGACTTAAAACACCTGTTTCAAGTGTTGAAGATGGACTTGTAAAGAACTGAGGTTGCCCTCAGCGCGACAATGGACAAAGTTGTCATCGAATTAGCTTGGAGCAAAGTCTCGAAGCGGTCTCAGCACTTGAGACACCATGCGATTGTAGTGTCGGGTGCGTTCTTCAATCCATGTGCAAACACCAGCCACTACCATAACAAACCACTTGGTGCGCTCATCGCTGTGAAAAAAAATTCGCTCTGTCGCATCAGAATCTGGTAGAAGGCATCGGTCAGGTCGGTGGCGCTAAAGATGACACTCCTTGACATGAAGTTCAACACCATATATATCCTGGGGATGGGCGTTTGTGTAGAGATAGTGGCATCATTTAGCTTACTGAACGCGTGCACGATCTGCCATCCTCCCGTAGCCATCTTAACAGAAGGTCGGTCTCGAGTGTGGTGAGATGCTCTCACGCACGTGGCCCGCCATTCGACGACCTTTAAAGAGTGCATCAGTGGTCTTGACCTAGGATCGAGGTAACGGCCACTGCCGGGTCACACAGTATTATTTAGCCTTAAAATTTGCACGAGATCGATTTCGTGCCGCACGCCACAACCGGCAGGAATTTTAGCCGGAATCTTGTCCGGGAACACCTCTGAGTACTCTCGACCAATTATGTTGGCAGGGTTACCAGACGCACGCAGATAGTCTCATGACGGCGATGCAAATCTTTCTGCACGCGCTGACTATGGTTTAGCTCTAAAGGTGTGTCATGTGCTCCTCGTTTGGATAAGATGTCACCTCTTTGGTGATTAGGCATACCTGTTCCACCGTGCCTCCCTTTAGGTCACGTAGTAAATGCTTTCAGGAGAGCCCTGGGAGCCTCGTAATCGAAGACGCATTGCGAGGTGGACTCGCGACTTTAAAGTATTGGCGCCTTTGCGGACTCCTGTCCACTTACACGACTGCGTGGACGCATTCCAACGCTGTATTCTCGATGCTTGCGTCCACATCGTGCTTCAAGTCCATGCTCGAAGCAGGATATCCGCAGCTAGGTGACAACCCACCACACCTCTCCAGACACTGGACGTCCTCAACCAGAACGTCGAAATCAGGAAACCCCTATTCGAACATCATGTTCTGACGTGGAGACACCTGTCCGTCCACGTCACACTCGGTGACGAGCTAGTGCTCTACCACATCTTGTCTTTGTGGGAGCATCTGCTCAACCACAATAGGTGCAGGTGGAAACCCTGGTTCGACCACTGCTCTTTAGTGCGGGAACATCTGTTCGACCGCGTCTTCATCATGCGGGAGCCACTGCTCGTCCGCGTTGTACTCCGCGCTGCAATGCGAGGATATATCGTCATCTGCGTTATTAAAACGGCACAAGTTGTGCAGAGAGGGCTATCGCTCTCTCAGTTCACCACCTACGTCCTAGGAGCACGATCCACGACTAGGACGTTTGGCCAATCTCTTGATAAAACCAAGAGATAGGTTGACACTTCACTGACGTCGAACTTGCGTCGACATCTCACTGACTTCGCTAACTAGTCAATCTGGGCTTGTCATGTGCCAATCGTGACATGCCCAGGATAAATTTAAATGCATTATTTATCTCAATCACCAAGGAGATGTCGGTGCTGTCGGTGCTGCGAAAGCCGTCGAACGTATACGGCGGCGACACTTCGCGCCGCGATATGTGGCGTGGTTTCCCGTCAGCAAGCTTGACAAAAACTTGACCAGGCCTCTCACAAACCTGTATGCTGGGTGGCAGCATTGACCCACAAGGTTAACGGAAGAATTTTTCTGTCGCTCCTGAGTCTAGAAGCGCTCGTAGAGTTCGCCGGAAACTGGTGACATGCAAACTGACAATGGCCAGGCGCGAATTACCACTCGCAGTGGTGTCATCTAACTGTGCACGAAGCACAGATGAGCTGGGAGGTCGGGCTGCCACTGGTGGACCCGGACCTACCTCTAAACCAGTAGGGCGGCCTGCGACTACTGTTCTCGTACGTGAATTGGACGAGTGGGCGGAGCACCTCTCTTATGATGGGTTTCCGTCACATGCACTGACTTCGGCGCTGGAACATGAAATTTAGCCACGCAATGTCCCGGCTTTCTACAACGAAAGCAGATCATCTGAAGGCCGCTACGGACGTCGCCTTTTCTGGGTGTAACACTTCGTCGATCATCCCATCGACTCAATCGTATTAATCTCCATAGGTTATAAACCGCTGAAGTGACAGCGGTAACACCCGAAGGCTTGGTATAGGCCTTGGTGACTCTTAAGTCTTCGCGGAGGGCAATAATGAAAGCCTTCTCTGTTGTGGCAGGCTCCGCACGTTCCAGCGACAGGCGAGTCTGCTCCTCACGCATACCGTCAACAAGGACATTTATTTGTGTGTATATGTCCCTGGGGCACTTAATAATGCACGACGACAGATGCTTAGCCATCTGCACGTAGTCTGAATGGCTACATTGCCCTGCCTCAATGACCGAAATCTTAAACGCATCAACTTCTCTTCTTGCAGAGGCTCGAAGGCACGCCGAAGGTCGTCTTGAATGGCTTTCAGATAAGGGAATGCGAACTCGTCCACGATGACTTTACCAAGATCCCACTCCATGGCTTTTCTAGTAATGCAGGACAGGAGGAAATTGACTTTCGCCTGGAAGCCTTGAGAAGTCTCAAGGCGATAGCAATATCAATTTCTTAAAACCAACACGGCAGCGACAGGTGGTTTTGTTCTTTGCCGGAGTAGACGGAGGCCTCCATTTTTAA